ATGTGTTTGAATATAGGAATTGAATATATGTTTCTGTTTTTTTGCTTGTAACACTGTAGGAGAAGAGCAAGCTGAGAAGGTGGGGTTAAATGTGTCATCAGTTTGGAGTCATTGCGTTGCCACAAAGAGACCTAAGTCCAGCCACCCGTGAATTCTGTTGACACTTACCTAGTGCCAATTTAACTTTGACTATTAGTTGCCTAGATTCTTGTATTAGTGGTAGCAATAATAAAAGCTATGCTTTGAACTGAAGAAATGCTCCTGGTTATTTATGCCTGACAAACACTTGCACAATGGGTATAACTACAAGATAGCTTTTTTATGTATTTTAAATACATATGCGCGCGCACACACACAGACAAACACAAACAGAGAGAGAGAAAAAATAAATTCATCTTTTATCTTTATCTTAGCTCATATCTTTGGTCTTGCTATGGTCCTTGCTCAATAGGAATGCTTTGTGTTGCTTTGGGTGTCTAAATAGAAGTAATTATTAGGCTCTTGCTTTAGAAAAAATAATAACAAGTAATAATAGAGATATGCCACAATCTATATAGGAAAAATGAATGCAATTTTTCTTTCATTTTTCAAAAGACAAATCAAAATAGTTTGAAGGTACTGAAGATTTCCCCCCCCCACATGATTCTGTATGGTTGTTGTTCCATTGCATATGAGACACTAAATATAGATTTTTGTCCATATATCTTCTATAAAGCCTGTACAGGGAGCTATTCTTACAATCATTTTTCAGCTCCTAGTGATAGTTTATACTGTGTGGTCTAAACCACTTTAAGAGTGATTGCTCAGTAATTATAACTCATAGAATTTGCTGCCAGTGATAGAATTCCACAAAGTAGCTTTGTGTCTAGATGTGTCTAACCAAATACAAACAAACAATCCCAGGAATAAGGTATTTTTCTGGAAATGGCTCGAAATACTAAAATAATCCGAAATGTACAGCTTAAAATTATAAAATATTCTGAAATTTTAAACCTTTGTTTCAAGAAATAAAGCAAGTGATAGGGATAGTTTCACTCATAAGATTGCAGATACAACTTTGAGAGCTTTTATATTTATAAATTTATATAAGTAAAAATACAATTTGTTCTAAATTTTTTGTTTAAGAGCTCTGTGTTACTCAATAAAAGCTTAAATCCTTTCTTTTTGGCAGGTAAGAATCATACTGTATAACATTCTGTAATATTCAGAAATTCCACTTAGTAAGATGTTATATACAGACATTTGGAGGTTATTTCGATGATTATCAAAAATGTTTACCTACATTAGTAGTAATGCAGATTTATAGTAAATATTATGGACATTGGAGTGAGTAAAATATTATACAGAAAAACCTCCTGAATCTGAATGATGTAAGTAAAAAATTAGATTCTCCAGCATGACGAGTGGAGAATCCACCAATGGGTTAGCTTCGTCTTCTGCCCGTATTGACTAAGTCAGCCAAGTTGCCATGCCTCTCTCCCTGGACCAGGAACCCAGTCTCGACTTAGTCTTTCGCCCGAGAGGACACGCTACTTGGCTCTAGAATCCAAATCGCCAGATCAGGTCATATTTAATTTAATTTCTTTTCCCTTAGAAGTCTGGAGGAATAGAAAATGAACAGCTGTTCATTCGCCGCCGCTTCTAACGTGCAAAGCAGATCCGGCAGGCTTTGTTTGAAGACTCAGCTGGCCCCAGCTGATCGTTGGCAGGCTAACAAAGAGCCGGTCGCCATTTTAGCACCGCATGGGTTTTTAGAGCGGGTGGGAGGAATCTTCCCCCTGGGTGGAAAGATCACAGCCTAGCCTTCGCTGAACCTCCGGATCACTAGCCATTAATCCCCAGCCATAGGGAGCGAATTTAAAGCAACCGCCATTTCAAAGACTGGTTGCAGCCGCCATTTTTAAAGCCGCAAAATTTAAAAGGACCGGCTTGCCAGCTCCCTCTAAGACTCGAACTAAGCTGAGCATCAATTATTTCTGAATTACAGTGGCGGTAAGCCGCAGCTGGCCCAGACTGGCACAGTGTGTTTTCAGCTTCAATTCTCCAAATAAAATTAAAAACGGCACGAGCTGGAGAAGTTCTGAACGGGGAGGAGAAGGGGAACGCGCTGCCCCCCCCACTCACTAGCAAACCGCCTCCCTACAGAGATAATTGCATCCTCCCCTTACCAGCTGAGCCACTGACAATCCAGATTCAATTCAATTCATCAAGTTTTAGTAAATAAGTAGGTTTAAAAAAAGGACAAAAAGAGGAGAGAAGAGGAGGAATCAAGTGACATCAGAGGGTGTCTGAACTGCCTGCCCAACAATTGTGTGCGAGTCGTATCATTAAATTGATCTTGCCGTCACCAGCATCACAGCAGAGTGAGCAAAGTGGAGCTCAGAGGTGTGGCTGTACCAATAATGGGACTTGCCACCCGGGACTGTTTCCAGTCACTATCAGGTTGCTCCATGGCCTGAGCTGACCTATCACCAGGCTCCTCACCACGAGATTCCTCTCAGTCTCTACGCTGAGATATCTCTTGTGACAATGGCAGACATCAACGCTGCTCAAACAGCACAGGATACCTCCATCAGTCCCCCCGGATGTAAGAGGTCAAGATCATCCAATCAGGAGGCAGCAGGAAGGATCAAGACCAAAGCAATATCTGGCAAAAAATCCTCTAAGGCCGCTAACGAGGCAAGACAAAGACACCAAGCTCTAGAGAAACAGTTCTCCAGGGCTGAAAAGAGGCAAAGCATAGCAGGAGACGGAATAGTTTCCCCTGCTTACACAGAAGCTGAGATATTTGGCCTGCTATTGTCTACTCAGGAACGCCTGGAAACAGAGGCCAAGGCAGAACAGGCAGAGAGATCCCTCTTAAGCGAAAGGCCTGAGAGTCCGGAGGCACCCAGTACACACTTAGCGGAGGGACTTCGTCCCACAGTCAGGGAGCCCTATCATCAGAACACTTACAGTCCCTGATATCCTAGGCCGTCACTCAGGGCATTGCCTCCACAATGCATCACAGGCCCAGAGCCGGGTCTGTAGTATCAAGGGGTCGATCCTACCTTTCCCAAGAGGAAGACACGGCATACCAGGGATCCATTTCCCCATCTCGTTCTTCTAGAAGCAGCAGGTCCCCCACTGGGGACTACGAACAAATGGATCAGGGATTGTCAGAGGATGAAGACATATCCACGGACCCCCACCATTCGTAGGCCTCTTCAATCCGACCCTCTTGAAATCCCTGCTCCACAAGGCCAGCAGCACGGCAAAGATTAAGAGGCCAAGGATCCCTCAGGAGGGACCCTCTGCAAGTCAGGATACTAATAGCAGAGTGTTCTCGGAACCCACCTACACACAGCAATATATTCCCTGCCCCCCTCTCTTCTTTAATACAATTCAGAAAAATTGGGGAGCACCAGGGGCCTTCCCTTCAATGGGGGGGGGACAGAAAAGAAACTGTTTAACATAGATCCTGCCTTATCAGAGGTGATAGAGGTCCCGACAGTAGATGAGCCACTAGCGGCTCTATTTTCACCAGCCACGGTATCTGGGGATGCGGCGGAGGCCTTGAAGTCAGAGGACAGGAAGGCGGAACTGACCTTCCGCAGAACACATCAGGCCTCAGCATGGGCGATCAGGGCCACCATATCTAACTCATTCTTCGCTAGAACTTCGTTGCTTTGGCTGTGCCAACTCCAAGCCAGGGTTTCCCCAGACGAGGAAAGAACCCACCATGACTTAAGGAGGTTAGTGGCTGCAGCGGAGTTCATGGCAGACTCATCATTACACGCCGCCAACTACTCTGCCAGAGCAATAGCGTCCAACATCACAGCCCGCAGATTACTGTGGCTCAGACAATGGCGAGCGGACATCAAGGCAAAGTGGCGGTTGGCTGCTGCGCCTTACAGGGGTGGTCTACTCTTTGGTGAGGCCTTGAACCCTTATTTGGTAGAAAACAAGGACAAACGCAAGGTCATGGCTCACCTCTCAAAGAAGGTTGAGAGGAGAGTCTCTACCTTCGCTCGCAGACAGCCTTTCAGGTCAGAAGCAAGCCCAGAGCTTTCTTCTTTTTCCCGTCCCTTTCAGCCCAGATCAGACTGCCAGGTCGACCGATCCGGTAACAGGGACAGATATAGATAGCAATTCCAGTTGAAGCGGCCCTTTCGAGGAGTGGGGGGGCCACCCCTTTCATAAATCCAAGTGATGGGGAGACCTCCCCCATTGGTGGCAGGCTGGCCCTCTTCGCACACAGATGGCAAGCCACCACCATGGACCTTTGGGTCCTAAACACTGTCAGATTCGGCCTTTCTCTGGAATTCACCTCCAAGCCCCCGAACCACTTTGTCCTTTGCCCATCACCCAAGGATCCAATCAAAAAGGGCCTCATCAAGGAGGCCATCCAGCACCTCCTGGAAATTCAGGCCATAGAGCCGATACCAATGGGTCAACAGGGACAGGGATTCTATTCCATCTTATTCATAGTCCCAAAGAGCTCGGGGGTGTGTGTGGAGGGCAATCCTAGATCTAAAAAATCTGAACAATCACCTGGCATACAGAAGATTCAAAATGCAGACTCTACAGTCTATATTAGCCGGCATCAGAAGGGGAGACCTCCTAACATCCATAGATTTGATGGAGGCTTACCTTCACATCCTCATACTTCCCGAGCATCAGAAGTTTCTCAGGTTCTATTATGCAGGCCAACATCTTCAGTACAGGGTCCTACCTTTTGGGCTTTCTTCGGCCCCCAGAGTGTTCACAAAGGTTCTGGCGACTCTCGCCGCCCATTTACGGACCATACCCATGCGCATCCAGTGCTACCTGTACGACATTCTCATTCAATCCTTCTCCGTCCAAGCGGCACAGTCGGATCTGACATTAACCCTAACAACCCTTCAAAACCACGGGTTCTCAGTAAATTTCCAAAAGAGTCAAACAGTTCTGTCGATCTGCCTTCTTCATCTGGGAGCCGTGATAGATACACTGAAGTGCAAGATCTACCTATCTCGAGAATGTCGAACCAGCATCCGAGTCTTGGTCAGTCAGATCTGAAGAAAATGGGTAACCACACTGGCCACACTCTCCCAACTGCTGGGAAAGATGATTTCATGTATAGTAATCGTGCCCTGGGCACGATTACACTCCAGAAGTCTTCAATGGTTCCTGCTACTGTTCCAGAAAAGAGGAGCCAGCTCCTCCAACCAGAGAGTGAGTCCCACCACAGGTCCTGAAGTCCCTCCAATGGTGGTTGTCCCCAGCGATGGGAAAAGGATCTCTGTTCAAGGAACCCTCCCGAGTCATCCTGACCACGGATGCCAGCCTATTCGGCTGGGGAGCACACCTGCAAGCACAGCTGGCACAGGGCCAATGGTCCAAATCAGATCTGAGACACAATATAAACTGGTTGGAACTCAGAGCCTGGCCCTACACCACTTCTGCAGCTCAGTGGCGAATCAGCACATCCTAGTTCTCACAGACAACGTGGCGGCAAAAGCCCATGTCAACCGACAGAGGGGTACACGATCCAGATCTCTCATGGCCGAGGCCAAATCGATGGGAATCTGGGCAGAAACCAATCTCGCCTCACTCAGGGTCGAACACATATCGGGAGAGGCAAATCAGCAGGAGGACTTCCTGAGCAGGTCAAGGGTAGACCACTCAGAGTGGAGCCTGCATCCAGATCTTGTCAGAGAAGCATCAGACAGGTTCGGTCCCCCAGTGCTGGACCTATTCGCCAGCCCGAGGAATGCTCAACTCCCGAGGTTTTTCTCCCGCTTCCCGTCACCAGGGGCGGAGAGAACAGATGTGCTCCGGGGGCCTTGGCCCAGGGGTCTGCTATATGCCTTCCCCCCTCTTCCTCTGCAAGCAACCATCCGAAAGATACTGCAGGAACAAGCAGAGGTGATTCTTATTGCTCCACACCGGCCAAGGCGGCCGTGGTTTGCCTCGTGAGTCTTTCAGTATCTCCTCCGTGGAGGATTCTGCATGACCGAATCTGCCTCAGCCAGGGGACCCTACAACATCCAGAGCCACAGTGGCTCCAGTTAACTGCCTGGCACTTGAACGGAACCTCCTAACTGGGGAGTCTTATTCACCAGACATCATTAACACAATCCAGGCCTCAAGAAGCCCTACAACCAACAGAATTTATGACTCTACGTGGAGAAATTACTGTACCTGGTGCACAAGACAGCAGTTAGACCCCTTTAGAATTACCATCCCAAGGATCTTAGACTACTTGTGGGAGGGGCTTAAAAAGGAATTAGCACCCAACACAATTCGCAGACAGGTGGCCACCCTGTCCACGATCCTCATGTATGGCAACTCTGAACCACTGGCCAAACACCCCATGGTGCAATCCTTTATGAAGGGCGCAACTAACAACAGACCACCCATGGTCCACAGATATCCCTCCTGGGATCTGTCCAGGGTCTTACAGGCCATTACGTCATCTCCATTCGAACCTATCAGAACCTGTACCATACAGTGCCTGACACTTAAGGTCGCATTCCTGGTCGCCATAACTTCGGCCAGACGCATTTCAGAGTTGGCAGCATTATCAGTCAGGGAAGACCTTTGCATCTTCCACGCAGATAGGGTGATCCTACGCCTGGACCCCTCCTTCGTTCCCAAGGTCAATTCCTTGTTTCACAGGTTGCAGGAGGTGGTGCTACCAGACTTTTGTCCTCAGCCTTCCCATGAATTGGAACGCAAATGGCATACTCTAGATGTTCGCAGGGCCTTAAGGCAGTACATAAAGCGAACGGCACCCTTCCGCAAATCTGAGGCCCTGTTCGTATCCTTTCAGCCTCACTCAAAGGGTCGGAAGGTCACTGCATCCACAATTGGCAGATGGATCAGAAATTGCATAGCAGGAGCATACCAAGGGCAATCGCTCCCTGTTCCTAACCGAATCACCGCCCATTCCACTCGCAGCGCTCCAACATCAGCAGCGTGGGCGACTCAGGCGTCGATTGAGGAAATATGTAGGGCAGCGATGGGGGCGTCGCCTTCGCCCTTCGTAAGACACTATAAACTAGATAAATTCACATCTGCAGAGGCCTCATTTGGCAGGAGGGTCCTCCAATGCGTAGTATCAGAGAGTGGGACATAGGCCCAGTCGGCTTCCCACCCACAGGGACCGTGAGGCTTTGGTACGTCCCATTGGTGGATTCTCCACTCGTCATGCTGGAGAAGGGGTGTTGTCTTACCTGAACGCCTTTTCTCAGCATGACGATGGAGAATCCACTCCCACCCTTAGGGCCTGTCAGGTCCTGTGTCAGGAAAAATTGAGCCAATACTTTTGAATCATAGCTAACGGCTGCGCCTCTGTCGAGACTGGGTTCCTGGTCCAGGGAGAGAGGCATGGCAACTTGGCTGACTTAGTCTATACGAGCAGAAGACAAAGCTAACCCATTGGTGGATTCTCCATCGTCATGCTGAGAAAAGGTGTTCAGGTAAGACAACGCCCCTTTTATTGTCCAGAATCTATTGATAGCTAGGAATTATTACCTCTATAAAAATGCTCTTAAGAATATTTTAAGAGGTGAATGAAAATAACCCTAATTTTGTGGGGAAGAATTAATATTGTAAAAATAAGGTTTGTTGTACATGTGTTGGTAAAAAATAGCTAGTTTGATTCTACTAAAATATTTTTAAACAGATGGATAACTTGTTCATATTACAATATTATTTATGGCTACTGCCCTTTATTGAGCAATATTAAATAGTTGAGAAGTAGTTGACAAGCTAGGTTTTTATAGACGAATTAAATATTTCTTTACCTTAGACATATCAAAAATTTAGCAAGCCTATTCTATAGTTTGGACCAGTTAACCAGCAGTTACTAAACTGAAATAACTAAACATTTGGAAAAATGATTCAAAATGATAATGAGTTTACACATCTTCGACTTTTTATCCCTTTTCTGTTTTGTTTTATCATTGTTCATGATAAAAGTTTTCTGAAGAATTGGAAAATATGCAAAGTATTTGGGAAAGTATTCTGTCATTTAATACATATATTTTGGAATAGTTCTTATAGTTAACATGACTGCTGTTTAGCTGGCAATGAATAAAGACGGCTAGATACAGAGCTAGAGATAGCATAACAGCATTTTTATCCTGTACCTAAGTAACAAGCATAAGAAATACAGTAATTGTTGATTCTGCTATACATATGAAAGGAATTATTGAATAAGCATTCAGAAGAGCTTTAAATATGTACCTGTACAGTTATTGTAGTTGCAAAATAGATAGCAGAATGCAAGCTGTGGATGTGAATGCAACCACAGACACAAAAATCTTTTTGGTTGTATTCATATTAATATGTTGTCTTATATGGAGATAATGAAAATGGTGTATGTATTTGTGAATCTGGAAAACATTTTGATGGGAATATTATTATTTGAGTTTTATAGTATATAATCTGCATCAGTGATCAGAAGGAAACTTTTCAAATTAAGAAATTCAGAGCTGGTGTGCTACAATGTGGAAGAATTATCCCACCCAATGAAATAAGAGGCTAATAAAAAAATAGTCATATGATGTCATAGGAATTGCCCCACAAGATGAGTGACAAGGTTAAAAAGATTAACATGACATAATGCATTTATTTCATTGGCTACTTATACATTATATATTACTATTTAAGCAAACTTTTGATATTGTTTCTGATAGATTTTTCATAAATAATCATTAAACATTTTATTTCCTGATTTTGAAGCCCTCTTGACATATGGCTTTTTTCTTGTATGTTGCACAGCCTGAATAAGGACTGTAGATGTGCCTGAAAAATTTTCTTCCCTAGGAAAGAGATGAAACTACTCTTAGAGAATAGAGAGCAATTTCTAAACATTATAAGAGAGGACTTCATACATCGTTACTAACACAGAGACTGTGTGAGGCTTCTACAGAGCAGCATGATGTTGAAATCCAAACATTAAATATTTTCTTCTTCCTTAGAAGGAAGTCTTAAACACACCTTTTAAACTCTGCCTGGTAACATTCCATACAAATTTGCTCTCAAAATTAAGGTGCACCCTCTAGTTTTTTTTTCTTGTTTAAATGTTCATATCTATATAGTCATTTCTAGTTGGTCAGAGATATTTGGGCTAAGGAAAATTATAAAATTTCCCTTCTCCTAAAATGTTTTTTTCCTGCTCCTCCTCTTTTACAGAAAGAAAATTCATCTGATATTATCATAATCAAGTTCCGGTTATCATATTTCATGCAGGGTCTTTGATTCCCCCCAATTCTCTTTGTAGATCAGGCCTTAGGGATGTAGCCTGCAGAATAAATGGGGTGTGAAAATCTATGTAAATACTGAGTGAGATAGATTCACTATACTTCAACATATAACTTCCAAAAACTATCCATAAAATAGAAGAAGCCAGTGGAGCTCTGTGTTTGCAGTTGCCTCATCATCTTGGTCTGATGATTTTATAATGTGAGCTCATATCCACATTCAGAAATTACAAATCTCACTCTTTTTTTACATTTCATCAATATCTTTTAAAAAAGATTATGGTAGCTGTCCTTGGATTCTAAGAATATTACTTTTGAAATATATTTTGCAATTTCAGGCAAATAGCTGAAGAAGGTAGTATCTAAAAAAATTAAAGCATAGAAGAATTACAAATACAGGCAATGATTAACACAATGTTCTTTCGCACTTAAATTAACTGAATCCTGGAAAAGGAGAAGAATGTTGATTTTAGGATATCCAGAGTGATTGTAGCATTTAATGAGAGTAGGAGTGAAATGAAATGACTACAAAAAATACAAATCTTGTTGAGGCTTGTTTTCAGACCAATGCATTAACAAAATATAGAGTCATAAGACGAAATTTGCATCAAAAATTAAATATGTTATAAGAGGTAATGAATACTTTTTTACACTTGTTCTGCTTCAGTACTCTTAATACACAATACTAAAATTATTTTTTAAGTTTTAAGGAATGGACATTTTCGCAGCCCTCTTTGTTTGAACATGGAATGTTCCCTTTTTATTATTATTTTCCTTTAAGTAAGCATACATTGGGGTACACGTAATTGCTGAGTTACAACTGTAATGAACTCTGCTCATTACAATTGTAACTTGTGACAGTTGTAATGTAGGTCAGTCACGTAACTGACCTGATTTTATGTCAATTTTTTGGAACACCATGATTGTTAAGTGAACTCCTCAGTAGTTCAGCAAAATCATCATAAAACATGGTCACATGACTTTGGGATTCTACAAATGGCTGTACATGCAGTCATGTGACCATGGGAAGGCGTCTGACCATCAGAACTTTGAATCTGGGTTGTAAGTAGCCCCTGAAATTACGGACACTAAGCAAGCGGTCATAAATCCAAAACTAACTATACAGTTGTTAGCTTTAGGTATTGAAGAAATGGACAGAACAAAGGAAGGGAATGTTCCAGGACTATGTATTTTGTTGCTGGTGCAATAAATAAAAATATTAAGCCATATTGTAACAAAATTCATTGTATCTTTGTTTTGTTACAGTTTATTTCTGCTGCTGGTTACTTTATAATTTTGACATGCTCGAGCATTTCCTTGCATTCAGTTTTGTACTCAAAACTTTAGATTTTTCGAGCTAGTCTTCCACCAGTTTTATGTTCAGAGGAAGAGTACTAGTGAATTTCATAGTGATAACCTTGACAGTTCTATTTGTAAGATTCATAGGTTTTTAAGGAATATTGATTGGTATTTGTTTTAGATGGATCTGGAAAAGCATCCATGTAAATTATAATACTAGATTTCCCTTTTTGTTACCAATTATACATATCATATAAAAGTATATATTGAACAATCTGTTAACTTTCTCCTCAGAAGAGATTGCAATACTTTTAGATTTGTTAGCACCAAAAGAGATTTATTTATTTATGTACTCATTTATACATACAACTTATGTAGCCACCTATCTCACAGTGATACTAGGCAGTGAACAGAAGATTTAAAAACAAAAACGCAATACAAAATAAACCTACAGAACAAACAATATAACATATGTGTGAGGATTAAAGTACTCCCACTTTTAGTACAAACACCAAAGCAAACAATCAACCAACCAACCAACAGGGCACATTTAACTGCCCAGCCCAAAGCCCTAAGAAAACACCCAGTTCTCCAATGCCTTATAAAAGGTTAATAAGATCAGGGCCAACTTGATTTCTAGGGCAGGAACTGCAGGACAGAGAAGGCACAGGTCCTATAGCCCATAAGATGGTACTTCTTAATAGAAGAGTCACCCTACCAGCTCTGCTTGGGTATGCCGGGACAATTGGAGAAATGCAGTCTCACTAATAATCTGACATATGTGATGTAGGGCTTTATAAATAATAACCAGAACCTTGAATTGAACCCAGAAATCTACAGGAAGCCAACCGAGCTTTTGTTACCTTGGGTATATGAGTCTATCACTAGATGCCACAAACTCAATGGTGGGATTCAAATATGTGAACAACCGGTTCTCTGTGTGGATGCCGCTTATGAAAGTCCATTCTGGGCCTGGGCAACAAAAAATTAGCTGGCGGTTCTGCCGAACTGGTGCCAACCTGCTGAATCCCACCACTGCATCCTGTATTCTGGACAGTTGTAGCTCTTTCAAGAGCAGCACTATATAGAGACCATTACTGTAATACAGTTGGGAAGTGACTGAGGCATGAGTCATTTTGAATAGGGTTTCCCAACCCAGAAACAGACATAATTCTCCTGAGAGGTAAATGTCTGAAAACTCTTCTAATTATGGCTGTTACTTATTTTGAGTTTAAGAGAATCCCCAAATTGCTCATCAGTTTTGTCTGAGGAAGAATAATCTCACTCAAAGCCAAAGGTATAGAAAGTGTCTGGATTTAGAGAGTCTCAAAACTCATACCCTTTGGTTTTGCCAGGTAGAATTTAAGAGCATGTTCTTCCCTGTGCAGACCTTCACAGCCTCTAGACACTGGAAAAGAACCTCCCTGGCATCACAGGGTTAGCCTGGGCAGAGATGTACTGTATATTGATCTCATCAAAATATTGATAAAACTTTACTCCATGTCAAGAGATTATCACATTTATTAGCAGCTTCATTATAAGAAAAATATGGATAGAGAGACTATCCAGTAAGGGCAAATGGTACCAAGCTAATAACTGTATGCAAATAGAATGTGAGGATTAAAAATTGTGAGCTGTCCAGGGTTGCTGAAGATGGGTGGCTATTTAAATATTTTAAATAAAATGTTTTAGCAAAAGACTGGTAATAATTCAGATATCTTGGTGTTTAAAATTTAACAAGGCATTAATGCAATATATGGGGTGCTATCCAACCCTAAGAGAAAAGTTTCAAAAAAGTTAATTTTTCAGTTACTTTAGGATTCTTGCTATTTTTGCTTAATGCTTTTATTTATTTATATTGTAATAAACGAGGGTGTGAAATTTCTGCATGGCCCATCACCTAGACCCAAACAAAGCTCTAGAAGGACATTTTTCAGAAAGACTATAAACCTGATTAATGTGTATTAAAAGTACCATAATAATAAAAACCACTGTAAAGCACAGAACATTAAAATAAATATTAATGTTAAAATCTTAAAATAGCAGGCAAATCCACTATCGATTCACTCACTCCTTTGATACAGTTTTAATTTTGATATGGTTGTCTAGATGAATACATATTCAACACTTGAGAATTCAGGAGACTAAAATTTTCAACTTAGCAACTTCTTTGCTATAAGCAACAATAAGCTTAAAACCTCTAAGTTAAATGTTTGCTGAGATGCTTACTTTGTTCAACTATTGTGATGATTAATTAATCTGTAAAAAGATATAGAGTTTGTTTTTCCATCTAAGTCAGCATCTTATCTTGTTTGAAGTGAACCCAGAAAGGCATAATATTGAATTTAACCTGAGCAATAATATTTAGTTAAAATTACTTAGAGTTTGGGAAGAGAAATTCTATTATTGATATTATTCAAATTTTCAGCCGTAAGATATGTTCAGATATCGAAGAAATCCTGTGATGAATAGAACTGTGGCCCATAGTGTTGAACCCTTTTTTACCTCTTATCTCCTTTTGCAGTCATCAAACATGTTAATATAACCAAAAATGCAGTTGCAAAGAGGACATCTATACCGCTGATAATCAGTAGTGTAAGATTTCTTAAAATATTGTAACACATAAAAATCATTTGTATAAAATCTAAAATTGCTTATTTTATAGTTAGCATGTGCAAATAAACTACATCAGTATAAACCTCAGTTTATACTGTAGCAATGAGTTGTAAATTTCCCATAATGGCAACACTTTTTATAGAATAAACAACTGTTGTGCATGCTTTTTTTGTATATAAAATTCTTTAAATTACTGCATAACCTTATGCCATAACTGCACAAGCTAGGAACAAAAAATGTACATAAGGCATACTTCTGCAGTTATATTTTGGTAATTGCTTGACTTGAAATAATACAAATTGCCTTTGCCTGAACTGTGCCAACTTTTACTGACCCAAGTAAGTTGGATATGTTTTTTGAACTCATGCTTGAATTTATCAATGCTAGATGTTAATTCCATCATAATTAGTTCAGCTTTTAAATACAACTTTTAAATACAGGCATTTAAATGAGGAAATAATATTTTACCCACCTTTTATGCTGTTGTCTCAACATGCATGAATTGTTGTAAAAGGAATTTCATACATGTCTCAACATGTACAAATGATTGTAAAAAGTTAACAAATATTTAAGCATTGAATGTATTGAATTAAACAGGACTAAAACCAAGTTATCTACTATGCAGTCCATATATGCCTGACATCAGCATCTGTGATTTCTAGTTTTTTAGCCAAAGGGCAAGAGAACATTGCTCTAAAGTGCTGAATTTAAATTATAATAAAAACATTTGAGTTGGATTCTTCCACTTGATTTCAACTGTATGCCCCTAAACAGATGTGCTGCAGCTCTCATTTTATTTCAGTCATGATTGGCATGTAGGACTATAATAGAGATTTGATAATAATCTAACATATGGAGAGTGCATCAGATCTGGGAAGATTGCAAGAACATAGTCTCATCTTCAAAATGAACCACAAAATGTATATTGGTTTCATTATCTAATTCAATCTCTTCCTTTCAATAACCATTATTACACCATGAATTCCATTTCAGAGCTAACAGCACAGTGGGTGGACGTCTGTTGACTGTGTTTTCATTGACCTTACAAATAATCCTGGAATTCTTTTTTCTATGATTTTGAAAACATAGTTTAAAATGAATGGAATCAGCAATGGGGTCAAAGCCAGCCTACAATTAGTTCCAAATTTGAAAGGACAATGGAAATATATACATACCAAAAAGAAGGTGGAGGAAGAATCAACTTAATCTGAAAAACTGGATCTGTAAAATTTTCAAAAAAGAAAATGATGAACCTGGAGTGACTTCTTAATCACCAGTGGAAAAAATATGCAAAGGTTTTACCCATTAAAGTTAGATTTATTTTATAGAAATTTATGTTCTTCAACTTATTATTTAAAACTAATTCTTATAATAAGGAATCCAAAATTCTTACATTATCTTTGAGTTTAGATTATATTCAAATAAGAAGAGATCATGTGTTATCAATCTAAAAATATGCAACGTGCTTTTCTGAAACTAATTCCCAATGAATCAGTATGAGTTTTGAATAAACATTGAACAATAAGGATTGTCAATTTATTTGGTAGGTGACTACTAAAATATCTTCCCAAAGATGGCAGGGAACCACAATTCTTCTTAATAAGATAGTACAGTTGCAAAGGAGAAAAGAGTACAGCATAGTTAGTTATATACAAAAGCAGCCCATCATTTTGAATGTAATGGGTAGGGGGATAAACTGCTGTAAAATGTCTAATTCAAGATGCAAATACTGTAAAGAAGAGAAAAACCGAAACTCATGCTTTTCATTACAGCCTTTGCTGCTGTCCAAAGTAGAGCAAGCAATTAACATTTCTTCTCCCAAGTCTTCCCATAAAATAGTTTTCTGTGTGAACAATTTATTCTTTATAAACCCTCTGAAGCACAAACTAAGGACAGGGAATAAACCATAAAGACCAATTAACTTCATCTCCAGTGACAAATGGTTTAAAAGCATTATTTCTATACATAGAAGTAGGTGGAAAATAAAATTGTAAAACAGTTTATGTATATGTGTGCTTGGGCACTGCAATAATCTCTGTTAATACACAGTCAAAACAAATACATTACATGTTTATCTGAATGTGCATACCCGACATTAACAATGGTGCTTAAAAGTTAGTGGACTCTTTTGAAAACCCAATTAAACAAATGAAAAAATATTATACTTGTTCATTGATTTAACGAAAATGATCCAAAACTTATATATTTCTGTGTTGAAAAAGTATATAAACCTTTGCTTTTAGTAACAGATGTGCCCTCTCCCCACCCCCTCCCCGCCCCAAATGTTCCCAATAATTGTTGATTAGTCCTGCACATTCTTGGAGAAATTTTAGTCTATTCCTCCTTACAGAAAAGCTTCAGTTCAGGAGTTTGGGGAGAAGGGGCTTCCTTGCATGAACTGTCTGCTTCAGGTCCTTCCATTTCTATAGGATTAAGATCAGGACTTTGATTTGGCCATTGCAAATGCTAACTTTCTTCTGATATAACCATTCTTTGGTTTATAAGTGGTATATTTTAGGCCATTGTCTTGCTGAATGACCCATCTTCTCTTGAGCTTCAGTCACAAACAGATATCCTGGCACATCATGCAGATTTTGCTGCAATGATTCAGAATTTATATTTACATCAATAAATGGCAAGTCATCCTGGTCCAGAGGCATCAAAACAGGCCCAAACCATAATACTGCCACTATTGTGTTTCACAGATGTAAAAAGAATCTTATGCTGGAATGCAGTGTTTCTGATTCATTTGTTTAAACTGATCTCTTTATCTAGTTTTAGGATATATGGAGAACAGAATTTCATATTTTTAGTTATAGTTTTGCAGAAATGTTGGAAATTCCAAAGGGTTCATGAACTTTTAAACATTGTATTTTGTTTTTTTCCTATTACCAATATTACCGTATATACTCGAGTATAAGCCGAGGTTTTCAGCCCATTTTTGGGGCTGAAAAATGCCCCCCTCGGCTTATACTCGGGTCAACTAAGGAACTAAGGGGTCGACATAGACGGGAGGGGGGGG